CGTCTGTCAGGCGGCCGCGCTGCGGGGCTGGGCCCGTCTCCCTCGGGGCACCGGTGGCATCGCCCTCCGCCGGCTCTGTCCCGCTCCGGGCGGGGTCCCGCTCGGCCCTGCCTCGCTCCCTGAAGAGCCCGGGAGCCAGCGGGGAGGCCTGTACCAGCCGGGTAAGGAGAGGAGCCAGCGACCCAGCTTGAGGACCCTCGCGTATGGGAGAGGATTTTTGTCGTTGAGCATAGTGGGAGCAGCTCAGACCCAGAGCTCGCTGCTGCTGCGGGTCCCTGGGCTCTTTTTATCCAAGAGGTATTGCTGCTGAGAACTGATCAGCACTGATCTCCTCGACCCAAGTCTCTCTCCTGTGTTAGGAATGCTTTGAGTTTTTCCCAAGGTGTCTTGCTGGGCTCAGTGGAAGGAGCTATCAGGCCTCTCTGAGATCAGTGCCATCCTCAAACCTGATGAGGTAATGGTCTGAAGGACACTGAGACCATAAATATTTTAAAAAGAAAAAAAAACAAAAAACAACTTAGCCTCTGGGTAGAGGACAGAATTTATGCCCGTGTTGTGCTCCTGTTGAGGAAAAGGCAGGAATAACATAACTTTTATGTGTCTTGAGAGTCAATACGAATGTGCTACTCCCAAAGCAACTGCCAGATGTGCTGCCTTTTGCTTGGCCAAAAGGGTGAGAGGTTAGATGCAGGATTGTTGTGGGAGACGTGTAGAGGCACATGGGGTGATGGAGCAAACCTACCGGAAGCCAGCTTCGTTAGTTTTACTACCCATAGAGAAACTTCTCATTACCTGAAGTAGTTTCTCTTGTTTCTGGAGCGCTTGGGTGCTCCCAGGTTATAATTCTTATAAGAAAATACAATTTTCCTTCACAGTGCAGCACTCTATACTTGAAAGACTGAAAGGAGAACTCAGTGCAGGGATGAGGAATGCTTGTTTCAAATAGCAGTTTCTGAACTGAAAGGGTACGTCATGGTTGGGAAGTGGTTGGAGGTGTTTCTGTTCTCTCAAGATAACTTGACTTTCCCCTGAAGCAGCTTCTCTTGCTGGTTGAAGCAAAGGAGTTATTTACTGAGTATGGCTTATTTCTTTTCATTTTTCTCCTTTCCTATTCATTCTCTTTATACCTTCTCTGTCAACTCTAGCGCGCAAGAAGGCAGTTAAGAGGAAAAGGAGCAAATGTACAGTAAGTCAAGCAGTAAGGAACCTGTGCTTGTTCTCAGCAGAAATCACTGCCTGGGTGAATCACTGCAAATAGACTTGAAAGAACTGGACATAATAAAGTGAAGAGCAAGAGTACTTGTTTGTTAACTGAAAGCCTCTGAAAATCCTGTTAGGATGTCAGAGGAAAGGGAAACTGGAGGATCCTTCAAGGCTTTTGAAAGAGTATAGAAGCAGCCTCATGAATTGCGTGCGTAGGGCTAGTCTTGTCTGGCATAAAGTTGCTGTGGTCAAGGTCCTCTGTAGTTCCAGTTTCTGTTACACCCTGGGTTTCACTTAATATCCAGCAGAGACTAGTGTAGCTGCTTTCTAAGGCTGCTGCCAGGAAGAAGGTTTTGCAGTACTAGGTGCACATAGCTATGAGCAGCATTATGTTATTCTGGGTCCTGTCCAGGCAGATGACAAGAAACACTTCCCTCTCTAAAGAGTTTACAACTGTCACAGCACTTTTTTAGTTCTGCTGGGTTTGGCGATTGTAAAAATGCGATCCACCACCAAAGTCCCTCTTGACACAGTTTTCTCCCAGTTTCAGCAAACATCATCCGTTGCTTCAGAAGCCCTTGCCCGTTTTTGATGCCATGCCCTCAGCAAAGGGAAGCTGCATGATCAAACCACGGACCTCCCAGCTGGGGCCTGTAGACAGGCCATCAATGCCAGTGTGCCGTGGAGGAGAGTCCCTGCTGGGGTTGTGGGCAGGATCCTTCAATCCGTGCTGAAATCTCTGCTGATAACCAGGTGTTAGGTGGGCTCACCCTGCTCATGTGGCGTTTATCAGGGAAGTCACCATTCAGTACAAAGTACTGTCCCTGATGCAGCAGGGGGTGGGAGCAGGAAGAGTTCAGGATCTTGGCTCTGATTGCTCCTGCTTTCCTGCCATTTAAAAAGGTAATGAATACAATCGCACTTTTTTCCCTTTGAAAGCCAATACTAGTCTAGGTTAATGTTTTGTTCACATACCTGCTAAACCCTGAGCCTGTTCCCTTCTTTTATGCCTTCAGGACAGTGTGCAGGCAGCACCTCTGCTTGTCTGGCTCCCACTAAGACAGAGCGATGGGCTAAGCCCATTCCTGAACCTTGGTGTACTGTTGTTGTGCTCATCGGCATCTGTGGAGGGTTTCCTCCTTCCCTTTCCCACGGAGCAAATGTCACTGTCCTTCTGTCCAGAAAAGAGCGGAGATACTTACATGAGCCATTCCTGTTGCTGCAAATAGAGCAAAGAATGTGTCCTCTTTCTCTGGTAGCCGGGATGCTTTTCCTGTAGTGAATATTTTCCTGCTTTTGGTCACAAAGGATAAATTGCAGTCGATGGAAGCTGCTGCAAGTGGATGAGCACCCACCATATGCTATAGGAATAAGGGGCGCATCTTAATCTTGCAACAGAAAGCACAGCACAAATGTGTTAGGCGGTTACAGGATGGCGTTCCCTGGCCTGAAGTTTCCTTGTGCTGTGTGAGCACCACTGCTGTTTTCTTCATGCAGTGCAGGTAAACTGAGGTGAGCACCCAAATGGTCTCTGCATCGGGATACCCTGTTGCTGCACAGGCTTTTTGTGTCCATAGCATAGTTGCTGATTTAATGACTCTGTTCATAAACAGGCAAGTTTTAAATATTCTTCTGGCAAATGTATAATAGTCACAGTTATTTCTATAGGCAGCAGCACTCATCCTGATATGTTAAAGCCTACTTAACAACTGAAAGCTTGCCTTACTTTCAAAGGACATGCCTCATGCCCACAGTTATGTTTAGGTTTGTTATGTGTGCCAGTAACAGTGGAGCTTCTGGTCCTGGGAGCAGCCATTTTGCAAGAGCTCAGCAGCAGTTGTTACCTGGCAACAGTATACGAAATTCCAGTTTTCAAAACCAGTGAAAATTTCAAGCAAGGATTTTGCTGAGACAGGAGGCTTTGACTTCAGTGTACTGATGTGTAAGGGCAGATGGAGTGGGCTTGCTCTCCAGTGGGGATTGTCAACTCTTTACCTTGCTAGTGAAGTAGAAAGAAGAGTCGTCTTCGCCCCCTGTTACACCTGTCCCCTTCCAAAAGCCTTCAAAAGTCATGGAGGCCACCAGGCAACTTGTGCTAGGCCAAATACATGAAGTCAGGGCACATGCACTCTTGAAAGCACAGCTGAAACTCTGAAAAAATGGTTGCTTTACGTAAAACTTGAGTGCTGTAAACTTCTAAGTAACTAGTTGACCAAGGGAAAAATATGGGAATCCCGTAGGCACAGCTGCACAGTTTCATAGCTAAGTTACTTGAATGCCTGGGCTTTGAGGTCAGGTCTCGCAGTCAGAAGCCAGTTTTGGAAAGTAACAAATGTATTATTTCCAGCCAACCCCAAATGTTGCAGCTAGCCACTGTATTGGTGGACTTCAGAGATCTCTCTGCAGGCATGAGGGTTAGAAATGACCCTTCAAGAACCTTTTGGTCTGGTACTTGATTCAGTAAATCTGAATCACCAGCTTAGTCTTTCTGATCCAAGACTGTTTGCTCCTCAAACCTGGTAAGTTCCTTGTACCTGTTCTTTGGTGTTTTTCTGGTCTGCTGGGATTGCTTGTGTAAGAAAAAAGCTATGACTTCGCTCGTTTGTGTGGAGATAAGTTTCTTACATGGGAGGTCTCTTACACATCCTTTTTGGAGAAGAATATTTTTCCCAACCAATTCAGCATATTCTACCTGATAGACAAGTAGAACCTGACAAAAAACATCTGGAGGTAGTGTATTTCATCCAGTGCTATTTCTTTTAAATGGAGATTGTGCACAGTTGGTCATGCTTTTCCCTAGGTTCAGTGAACGAGAACCAGAGACAGTCAAATTCGTATAATGGAGACCTGAATGGACTGCTGGTGCCTGATCCCATCGTGGCCGGAGATGGACCTTCTTTGGCTAAGCCAGTGCATCGCAGCATTTCTCTGGGAGCCCTGCAGGAGAAGCAAGTTATGTAAGTTTTGTCAAAAAAAGGCTTTTTAACCAAAAATGGTTAAAAATTAGTTCTGGTGAGCCTGGACAAGCATGCTGGGAATCTGACAGTGAGTTTTACGTTGAGTTCAGGTGGCAGTTGTGAGTCCATGCTATTGGTAAGAGCTTTTGTAGTTTTTGCGATGCTGATGCATGGAGCCTGCCATCCCTGCTGCTCAGGAACTGAAGAATATCAGCAGAGCTGTTTAGGGCGAAGGGGAGCAGGACTGGTCGCATGGCGGACATTGCAAGTCAGAATGGAGGTAAATTAGCAGGGCTCTGGGTGGAACTTAGTGTTCTCATGTAGACCTCCAGCTGGACTCTTTCAGGGACCCAAGTTACCTAAGTGGTAACTTATACCAGTTTGTAGACCTTGCACTTGTCGAAGTATTTCTCTCCACATAACTTAAAACGGGACAAATGATCCTGAGATAGATTTCTACCTAACTTTTTGCTGAGTTGTCTGTATACATCAGTGTGTTTTGGACAGTACATGTGCTTTTACCGCTTATATGCAAGAGAACACATGCATATAGAACACTCTGGATTTGTCATAATAATACAAATCCACAGCTACAAATCCACATCAGTCTAACTAGTGTAATGCTTGGCTTCATGTGCTGACTCTTAACATCAGAGCTCATGTAAATAGCTTTTGTTTGGGTTCTCTGGTCATAGTTTTGGGAGAGGATGCTGTGAGAACCATGAGCAGTGTGCACTGTTGATGAGGTTCAACTGGTTGGCTGTGGTCTCTTTACACCTTCCAATGTTGGGTAGTAGTCAAGGCTACTTTAATCAAATATATTTCTGTGCTCAAGTCAAATAGAGTAATGGACTGTGAAAAGAGACTGGAGGCTTTTAAGCTGAACAAACCAGGTATTTGGCGCTCTCAAACCTGTGACACATGGGGAAGGGAGACTCTTAACTGAAAGTAGTTTCTGTTTTCAGTTGTTCAGTTCAAACCTCCTAGATGCACAGATATTCTTTCTGCATTGCTGTTAAAATCATGAATGGTAAATATCTGACCTCTGTTCTCTTCCTGTGAGTCCTGTCTGAGTGTTTTTTTTCCCCTTTGTTTTTCTTAAAAGCTGTCTTTCCGGTGATGACAGCTCCACTTGTGTAGTGATATCAGCAAAAGATGTGGAGATAGTGGCCAGCAGTGATTCCAGCATCACCAGTAAGGCCAGAGGGAGTAACAAGGTAAGGAGCAAGACAAAGCATAATTCTGTTTCTTTTTTTAGTCACATCAGCTCATGCTCAAATATTTTAAACAGAAATTACTATCTTCTTTCTTGTGTTATAGGAGCTTCTAATTAGGTAGACATTTGTCAAGGAGCTTAACAAGGGGAGAAAAAAATTGGAGTGGTATCTTGTTAGCTGATTGTTACTGTTATTCCAGTCTGGCCAAGTTATCGTCTAATTTTCAGGAATAATTCCATGATCTAAGCTGTAGGCTGCTGGGAAAGTGCCCTTCCTTCACAAACAAGCTTT